TACAAAATGTAACTTTAGCACATAAAGTAGTTTCTCCTGCTTTAAAAATTGCATTATCTGACACATGCTTCAATATATGCTAAAATTATGTTGTGTGAGCAGAAACTACTATATTTATACATCATCTTTAATCAAAGTCACCCCATAGCAAGAGCAACAAAATAAGTAGAAGAAAGTGTGCTTCGATTTGAAAAATCTCATAACTTTCTGGATAACCCATTATATGATCTTACTGTATTTATGATGAATAACTGCTTTATCAGATTACAAAAATACACATAGTTTTGTAATCTACAGTTTTTGTTTAGTTGGGATTCTTACTTAGAAAGAGATTAGCAATCCTTGATATAGATATTAACAGTTTTCTTGTATTAGTAGCTCATAACTTAATATAAAATGACAAATACATTTATTTATCTTAAAGCATTAACTATTGTTTAAGATTTACATTTAACTGTATTGTTGCTCATAAAACACATATTTTTGAAACATTATTTACTGTTTGAATATGACTCTTAAAATTAAAAAAAATATAATTTTGTTATCACATCATCAAATTTTTACTAAACTTTGCAGTCTCTTACACGCTGCATCAAGTTTTTAAGCTGTGTAACTATAAGATGTATAAATTAAAATACACAATATTATAAAACTGCTTTATTTAAAAAAACTAATTTTTCATACTTTAAGACCAGAGAGTACATGGTATAAAAAATGGCACTTTCTTATAAATAAAAAATGTACAGTAGGTAACTCATATAGTATCAGGAAATTCAATTTGACACATCACATGATGAAAGATAATTATAACTTAAAGGCATATGAAGGTAATGAAGTACTAATTAGAAGACAGTTATTTGCTTATCACTGGAAAATGCTCAGAAATTTTAAATCACGTATGATAGCACAGGTTTATATCTGTTTCTATTACCCTTTCTATTAAGCTGATGTGCTTATTAGAGATAATTGTTTTACCGCTTAACTTCAAAAATCAAGCAAACCTTGGAAAACATGAAAACATCTTTTGCGAGATCAACATTTTAAAGAATTCTGAAAATGGAGTTAACATAAACAATTAATACATAAATTGTAACTTGTTCCTAAAGATGCACAGCAAAAGCCTGAATAATCTTGCACTGAACAAACCAGAATGTTTTAGACCTCCCCCCCCCACCGAAAAAAAAAGGTAAGAAAATGAAAGACTTGCAAAACACATAAGAAGATAATGTTGAACACCAGTGAATGATAGGCCAGATATCACAACATAATTGTAAAATCTTCAACTTGATTTTAAGTAAATCTATTAGCTAGTTTAGTTTTTGTAAGGAAGAGTATAAATTTTATTATTTTCATTTATCTGCTTTCGCATTTTGATCACATTTAGAAAAAATCATTAATATTTGGAACCTTTCTTCTGTAGCATGGTATTTATACGTAATGAGATTCTTGCATCAAGAAAAGTGTGTATTAAAGGGCATGATAGACAATTTAATTTAGAAACAAACCATGATAAAGTTTTTTATGTTATATCTGCAATTTCTATCTATTGATTATCATACAGAGTAGCATCCCTGCCAATCTTCATGGTTCAATGGGATTTTTTAATTGAATAAGATGAACTTTCATATATTTAAGGCTTTTGATTGACAAAATTTATTTTCTAATATGCACTATATCTCATCTGAAATATATGTTGAATGATGACTGAATTTTGCCAATTATTAAAAATTGAGGTAAAATCCTTAATCAGATTTTACAAAAATAATAGTAGCAAAAATAGATGCTGCAATTAAAAGTAAATTTTTTAAACATCTGAGACATTACTAATTATTTAAGTTTCTTTTATATATTTAAACAAAGTACATCTCCCTTTTCAGATATAAAGAGGTAATATATATTTGTCCCCTTTTCTTACAAACATAATTCTATGCAGGAATATCTTCCTTTATGAGAATTCACTAACAGTAATTCATTTGTACTGGTGGAAAAATTTTCAGTATTTTAGGAACTATACTTTTAAAGGAATTTGTCATTTTGAACCTGCAATATGATTTATATTAAAAAATCTGCATCACTACTAAACTAAAATATATTAAAATTGAGAGATTAGAAAATTTATGCTTGCTGACTGAATTAAAATGCTAATTTCTTCATTATTTTTCTTACTATTTGTAATTAAGAATGCCATGGATTTGATCAAATTTGTACCTACAAATCAATATGATCTAACTTCGAGTTTATTCTCTTCATAATTTTCAAAACTTCAGTATGATATCATCAAATTATGCATTCCAATCCCTACTATTTAAACAGCTAATTCATTACATGAAAACATTAATGGACAATTATTTAATTTCCAAAATTCTTATTTTAATAATATTACTTATAGAACATGTATTGATAATCAAAGTATTATATACAGTTTATATATGTGACTGAATATTCTGCTTGTTAATAGCTGAAGTTAATTATATTGCAAAAAGAATAATTAAAATATAATTCAGAGAAAACAATCTCATTGAATATATAATTTTTGTTCATTTAATTACCCATTGTTTGATTTTTATATTTTCTAACAAATCATTTCTATGAAACATTTTCTTGCTTGCATTATTACAAAGAAAACAGAACCAAAAAAAAAATTTAACCAGTAAAATAATATGCTTTGGTCCAAATTATAGAAGAATAAATTGCAGGCACACGAGATTTCTTTTTCTCCAAGTCAAAATTTTAATAACAGCAGCTGAGAGTTTTCAAAAGATAGTACCTCTTGATTAGCCATGAGTAATAATTGCTGAATATTACTTATGGCTAATCAAGATAAAACATATTGTAGAATAGTGCACTATTTTTTAACACTATAGGCATTCATTTTTCAGTCAAATAAGAACTGAAGTCATATAAAAGTGGGGGATTAAATTACATATGTTCATGTAGAATTATAAAATCATACAGCAGTACAATTACATGATAAAAATGTTGTGGTTTACAATAATGTTAATTTATTAACAAAATATTTTTTACATAAATCACCAACTGTTGCCCTTATGTATTTTAATAAAATCTGTGTTAATTTGATAAAACTTATAACTTCCATTCCTAAAAGATTTTAAGAATACATTATTTTACTGCCACAAAACAAAGACATCTAGTTTGTTATTTTAATAAATAAAATTATTCTGTTATATTGTTCTATAATAAAATATAACTAAATAGAAATATAGTTTCACATGACTCATAGTTAGAGAAATTTGTGTGAAACATGCAAGTAATATTTGTCATAAAATAATAATTTTACCTAAAATCCCAATTAAAATATTTCTATCATAATTTTATATAAAATATAGAATTTTAACATTTCTGTTGATGTTTTCAGAAATATGAAAAACAGTTGACCCTTGAAGTTGGGTTTGAAGTGCATGAATCTTCTTATATGTGGAACTTTTTAAGATTTACAACAATTTTAAAATGTGAACCTAATTTTCCAAGTAGATACTGGTACATAGTGAAGCCTCATGAAATTTTTTAAATTAAGCTTATTTTCTGAAATTCAGAAACATTCCATGCAAAAATGGTTTATTTACCATGAAACAATTAAAAAAACATTTGTATACTCCCCCTCTTTTTGGTACAGCTCAGCAGTGGATGAATGGCTACTGATGTGAAACACCAATTATTCACAAATTTCTTACATTTTTGTGGTCTTTCTCATATGCAATATAGATAGAAGTTGGATTCCTTCTGCAAATCTTTCATAAACATATTCCTCTCCTATACTCAATATACTAGGAATGCTTTAACATAATTCAAAATCCATCCTTTTGGATTATCTGAAAATGCCATTAAATTTACTTTCAGTATTAAAAAAAAAAAAAAAAAAAAAAAAAAAAAAAAAAAAAAAAAATTGGTCAGGCTTTTCATCAGATTTTTCATGAAAGAGAAATTTCATACCTTTCTTTGAATTTTATATATGGTTTGTTTGGTTTGGTTTATTAGATTACGGAGGACGTTTTAAGGGAAACTGGTTCGTATACACATTACACATGGGGAAAACCACGAAAACAACCATGCAGCCAGCCCATTTGCGGGATACGAACCTCGGACCGAACTACCAGTGTTCAGTGACATTACCGCTTGGCCGCTGGTGGGCGAATTTTTTATATATGATAATCATAAATAGGAAGATGCAAACTTTTCTTCTGTTTTAACTTTATATTTTTCAAAATCAGTAAAATATAAACAAATAGTGTAGTGCATCCTTAAAATGATTTGCACATCGATCATATATATGACCACATTAAAAAAAATATGTGGCACCAAACATAGGCAACATTAATAAGCAATTTTTAAGATGATATAGTATGAATGCTACTAATAATAATTCAAAATAACTGTTGTTATGTCACATTTTATTTAAAGTATGATATTAATTTAAAAAAAGTGAGAACCATTGAGCTCTAGGCTGCGATAAAAAAAAAATTATTTGCAATATTATTTTGAACCAATCGTATCCACTATTTTGTTATGAACACAAAATTTTATATTTAAATAAAAATCATTTTTTATTTTTATTTTTACTGTAAGTAATGTTTTGTGTTTACAGTGTTTCCTACCTTATAAGAAAATAGATATTATCAGATAGATCATTCACCTTGTAGGCATGATTGAAGATATTGATAAATATTGTACAACGTTATAGATGTATTTCCTGATTAATATAATTTTCTCTCATTTTATTGAAAGAATACAAAGTATGTGTTTACCAATTATTGTTTACATCATTAGTAAATTTTCATGTCAATAGCAGGTTGTTACTAATTAAAATATTAGAAAGCTGAAAATTATATGCAGATATACTATACAAGTATCTTGGCATCTATAATCTCATATTATTCAAAGGTCGACTGTTATGGAATTTAGTTACTATATAATAATAAGTATATTAAAAACAAATGTTGCATTTACAAAAACGTTTTTTAAATAAAACCTTTTGAAATTAATGAAAAAAAATATGATTTATTATTTCTTATAATCTGGAATATAGTTGGTACTGGAATGTTATTTTCATTTTCACAGATATAATGAGGTTCTTAAAAGTGTATGGGAAAATGTAGTTATTTCAAGGGAAAAAATGTTACAGCATACAAACAGGAAGATTTTTATGAATAAGATAAAATATTACACTTGCAAAAAAGTTTATAAGACAATGTTTTCGTACATTATTTTAAGTAATGTAAAATGAATAAATTAGTTATTAGTGAGATATAAAATGAATAAATTAGTTTATTTAATGAAGGCACAGTTGAAACAAAGATGTGTATTAACGTTCATTATATACATATATATATATACACACACACATATACTGGCATTTATAAAAAGCTATTGATATTCAAATAAGCCATATTATTCCATTCTGAAATTTATTTCAGAAACAGCATAAGTTACTGAATATTATATTTCAGAGTAATAGGAAACAGTTTTGCCTTTCTTCCATGACTTTTGAATCAGATATAATTTTGCAGGCATCAAGGATTATTGTTTCAATATGTTTTATTTACTTAAAATGTTAGGTCTACATAGATATAAACAGAATTCATGAGTAACTTAGAGCTTGAAATGGTAACTTATGTTTTTTTTTTTTGGGGGGGGGGGGGGGGGAGGTACTAATCTGTTATCAGGACCAGATTCAGAAATTTAAGCATATATATGTACAATGTACGTACTATGTATGTGTGTCTATATACACACGTTCATATATTTTTTTTTATTCTGGTTCCGATAACAGAAGAGTACAAAAAATAATTAATTCATGTACACTGAAATCAACTAAAAATATGTGACCGCATTACCCTAAATAAACATTATGTGACCTATAAACAAACAGTAATCCATTCTCAGATTAAAAAAAAAAAAAAAAAAAAAAAAAAAAATCAAAAGCACATAAATAAGCAAGATGTGTAAAATTCCATATTTTTTCAACTAGAAATAATGTAAATTTTATCATTTTTTATATACAGCAGGAACAGATGGTGGGTACCGACTATATAAAAATGTTGAACATATAACAAGTGATGCTCCACATACAAATTTGCTAGTTAATTGAAAGTTAAATACATATACAGAAATAACACACGACAATACAATAGCCAAAGAAGTAGAAAAGCCCTTAAGTATATTATCAGCATATCTTACTACAACTGCAACTATCAAACCACCAAATGCTTGCAACATAATTACATACCAGACAACAGTATTATAACCATGAAAAAACCCTTTAGTAGATACTTCATTCCAGTCTATAACATAAACCATGAATAAGCCAACAGGAATTGAAGTAACACACAATTGCACATTTCTCATCCAAACAGTTATTTCACTACCTTTAAGTATTTTTTCAAAATATACTCCAGCAAAACCAGATAAACAGCATGCTATCACAATTGCAAAAAAACCAACTAAAGGTTTCTGTGTGTGAGTAGAGTTTGATGTTTTAGCTGTAGTCAACTGTGCAAGCTGTACAAGTGCAACACCAATAAATAATAAAAAAAGGGCAATCCACTGGTACATGCTTAAGCGCCTCTTCAACATAACGACAGAAAATAATGCAGTAGTCAATATTTTCAGTTGGTATGTGACCTAAAAGAAAAATCATTAATTCTTCCAATAAACTGCAAAATTGCTACAATGTTACTTTGAAAACATATTTTTAAATTACAAATTACCTGACATGTTGCTGCATCTAGATGTGTAGCACCTACATATAACAAATTATTCTGCACAGTATAAACTAATGATGGAATAGCAACCTAAAAAGAAAATATATCAATATAAAATAAAGAGACAAAGAATATAAACATGCATAAAAATAAATGCTAATTCCTTGTTGATGCAACTAAGCATGGTGGTCACTTCAACAAAGAAGTACTGTTTCTGAAAAATTCCACAATGGAGGTTAGTTGTATTTTTTACCACACAACTCCATTCTAAAATATATTGTCATTATGTAGCTTGACAGCTGAAATTTTAAAGCTTGTTAGTAAAAAATTTTTTTTTCATTCTGTGCAACATGATTTTTTTATGCCCAGAAGGGCCGTTAGTCTCGAAACAGCATTTAGTGTCAGTTCATTATAAATGTATATTTCACTTTCCAAACTGTTGCCACCAAATATTTGTATTATATTAAAATATATATACCTTGTATTATATTAAAAAAATTAATAATGAAGAATCTACATGAATGTATGCATGTTTCTTGCATTTAGAGCCATCAAATTTTTAATAACGTAATCCTCCTCTTGAATATAGGCACTTGGAAGACCGAATTTGGAATTTGTTTTATTGTCTATTTCATATTTTGTAAAACTTTAACAAATTTAACAAACTCGATGATTTCAAAGCAAGCAATGGCAACACTGCATGGAGGAGGGGGGAAATTTCTATCTCCATCACGCACAATCAATTCGGGATTATAACGGAAAGGAAGACACACCTTTATTCCATATTTCATTCCATCAGAAAATCTGTCTCTTTCTGCTAAAAATCACTATGTTGGAACCTATACTATTGTGTTGCAGGACAGGTAAAACACTTCGTTGCCGTCTATCATGAAGAGAGTCTGCACGGGCTCGGTCAGGCCTCCGCAGCCAAAACTAAGGGGACACGGTAATATCCTTTAACTGCAATGCACGGTTGACCTCCGAAGGGTCTCGGCGTTTTTCTTTTTTTTTTCCTCCTAAAATCATTTTTCAGTCCAAAAATCTGCTCCTGCCTCTCGTGCAACGGCTTAAGAAAACTTGCCTGACATTCACCAAGAAACTCCTCAAAATCACTATTGGCTCAAACCACACTAAAATTAAAAAATTAACCAATCTTAAAGAAACTTGGACCCCCTCTAGCCAACTACAACCAGGTGATAAACCATTGCGAAATTTCCAAGAAAATTCAGAACTCTCAGCAAGATGAAGGATTTGTTATGTATTAATTGTTATTATTTTCAAGCTTAAGTTTTGCTTACTTAATTCAGTTTTGATCAGTAATTGAAGTTAATTTTTTGCTTTAGTTGTTTAACCCTCTGAGCGTTACGGGTTTAGCCCTGATATTTCAAAGTTCCTCAAAATGTCATGAATAAGTGATATTTTCTTGATTTTAATTAAAAATGACTCTTTCATTTTGTACCTTGATTCCTTTCTTCCATATACATCCAAACTGAAATTAGATACATTAAAAGCTAGCAGAAATTTTCATGTATAATGAATGTGGAAGGCAACCTTCTGTACGGAATTTTCCAGCTGTAATGCTGAGAGGGTTAAAGTTGGTTGTAAGTTTAAACTGTAACTTTTGTAAACTTTAAGTTTAGGTTTGGTTGCAAAGTTTTCTTAAGTTGAAGTTGTTTAAAGTTTTAATTTGAGTTTAGGGACTTCAGTTTACTTGGTTCTTGTACTTTTTGTTTAGACCCTTAAGGTTGTTAACTTTTAACTTTAATTATTTTAAAGTTTTGTATGCTGCACTTTTGGTGTGTTAATTTTTTTTAACTTAAGGTTAATTTTTTTACCCCTCTTTCTATTAAAGTTATTTAATACATATTTTCGAACTGGTAAGGTAAATCAATAGTACAGTAGAAGTCCAGAAATCCGCAAAGCTTGGGACAAGAGGTTGTGCGAATTTTGAGGATTTCAGGACAGAAAAGATAAAGCATAATATTCGGACTAAAAGTGCAAAATAAATAGTATTAGATACATTTAATTAAATTATTATATACATTATTGCAATAATTTATTTTATGCATTATTATTATTATATTATTATTTATTATATGTACACAGCATCGAGGTTTGCCAATTTCGCCTCATGCAAAGATTTCAGGTTTTTCGGATTCCGGTGCTAGAATCCTGTTGCTGTAAAATTTCAACAGCTTTTCTTATTTTCCGTATATCATACACGTCGTGTCGCATACCATTGCTATAATCGTGGAGTAGCACCTGCCCTCCTCTTTGCACAATTTGCGTTACTGTCAATGCAACGTGTTTACGTTTTTCAACGTTGCCAAGCAGTAAAACTCATGAGTGCGTTTCTTATCTTCATTGTATTAAAAAAGGGCTGATTTAAAATATTCTTAATTTATCCACAAAACATCAGGATAAAAAAGAGCAGCACTAAAATCTCGTGATATAACAAGCTCAGAATACACAAAGTGTCGTAAACGAACAGTTGAGTGAATCGTTGCTTTTTTTACCCGATGCAGAGATTAGAGAGAAAAAACCTTTATCTATTTTTTAGCTTTTTTAATGTCAATAATTTGGCATTCTGTATGCTCATTCTTATTCAATAGTTTTTTCTTTGATATTCGTACTCAATGTTGTGGTTTCTGGAACCTATAAACTGAATGTTTATATTTTGAGAGGCAACACGGATTTCAGGAGTTGGCGGATTTTCGGTATTTGACTGTAAGTGAAGCTCAATCTAGATAATGAGTGATGCTGCTGAAGAAACAATTTATATTGTGCTGTTAATGAATTTAACTGTTATGCAATAATTAAATTTTTAATGTCCTAAATTCGTAACTATTCACTGGTTCTGAAGAATTTTCTCATCCTAACCGTCGGCTTGGAATTCATTCTCAGAATCACTTATCAAGGGATTACTGCACACAGAAATTCTTTCTCTCAAGCATGAAAACACATGTAATCATTCCACCACATGTTCAGATAATGTGGCCTCGGCAGTTTTGCTTAACCAGGACTCTGGTTGTTGCGACATCTCTTGCAGGGAAAGGTTCTACAGTGAATTATTTATGAGAGGGGATAAGTCTTTGGACAGGAAGCTCTACATGTTGGATTTGCACCTCGAACGAGGCTAGTCTTCCCTTTTTTTCATCTGCAAAGAGTTGTTGACCCAGCAGAATGGCCTTGGAGGCTGAATGGTTGAACTGCGCTTGCTGGCTCTTTCGGGTAGTCGGGAAACCCCTTCCCGTGAAGATTTCTCCGCCTGGGTTGCTGTGCTCGGCATCATTCTGATCACCTTCTTCGCGAAGTTTTTCAAAAGCGCGCAAGCTATTAAAGTGGCTGTGCAGTGGATAGAGAGAGAGCCTGAGCCAGAGAGATGGAGAAAAAGAAATTTCATGAGACCTTCGAAGGACAAGAGGAAAAAAAAAAAAGATGTCAATTTTACCGTTCAGCTTGGAGGGCAGCTGCTTCGTAGGTGAAACAATGTAAAAATAACCTGCACCGAAGAAAGGCGTACTACACTTATAATTCTTGCCAATTTACGCTTTCAATGATGGCCTGTGGAGGGAAGACCTGTGTCCTACCGGTTGGAAGCTGCAATAGGAGGGAAGCCTGGCCTCCGAAACAATAGCTTTTGATTAATTTTATCAACTTATCCTTTCTCCTTCTTACAGATAATTTTCCAAGTTTTCCCTGAGTCCCAATTGTCCCCAGTCATCGTTTTGCCTGTATCAAGTAATCAAAAAAATTGTATGATGGAATCCATTCGTGAACAGTATGCTGTTATATATGTTAAAGAAGGTATGTTAACTTTTTCTGTTGTTTCTTCAGATATTTAGATGATCGGTCACCAACAATGTAAACTGTAACTTGTATTCTTACTCTTTATAACCATAAATAAACGTTAGTTTGATTTTACTTACCTTGTTTTATAATTAAATTTTAATTAACTTTGCACTGTACCATAGTATTTGAACGAGTTACTGCCCGGCAATATGTCACACAACACAAACAATGTAATTTAGAATTGCTTTATTGTTTATATTTCACTCTGATCGTTACTCGAATGGTTATTTAATATGTTTGATACAGAATTGGTTGAAAAACTTTTTTTTATGTTGTACATATTCACACATTTACCTACTACAATATAGGTATGAACATGATTTTCAAATTACACAGTAATGATGTTTAGTAGAAATTATGGCATATTATCTTATTCTATGTTGTTCAATAGATAAATAATTTAACAACATTTTGTAGCCACCCCTTCCCCAAAATACATTTACCTGTCCCAAACAGGAAATTAAATTAAAAATATTCAATAGTCTTATTCTTCAGCAGTGGACACCGCTTAGAATGACATAATTAATATGAAATTATGAAAATAAATTACTCATAGATTTTTACAGCAATTTAAAACCATTGGACATTTTATGAGCAGGCCCCCCCCCAAAAAAAAAGAGATTAACTTTACAGCTCAGAGGTATTATTCTGTTCACACGCAATAATAAAAAGAAGCATCAGTTCTATTGTGATTCCTTACAATGAAAAAAATGCACCTGGGGAAAATGCACTGATTGGCAAAATGATAATTTAATATAAAGTATATATTCATGTGTACTCAAACATACATATGATATGTATGTGTTGGCTTTCGTTGTGTGCGTACTCAAAAATATACCACAAGCATGGCAATTTTACCAAATGTTGAACAGAGGATGTTGATAAAACAGTACCAAAGTATGATCTTTCATCTAGGTTCATTGCTAAACTGAAAATGGAAGCTAGTTTAAATATCTAGATCTTAAAAAAGGGGAAGGATTAATATTTATTTTAGATTCAAACAATACCCAATTTTTACATCAAAATATAACTGTCATATTTAAGAAATAATAAAAGAGTTTTAATAATCCATTATATGAAAAATGCAATTACCTTAAAAGTATCTAAGGGTTGACTAATAACAGTTTTTTTCAGAGCTATTAGTAACTTCTTGATACTTCCTTCATCAACTGCTCCAACCATAACTAATGAAAATAAAAGTTTAAGTATCTCAGCTATTACAACTGCAGTACTGGATACAAATAATACTTCTTGGGTGCGAGCCATTCTCATCAGCAAGTTTAAAGATGCATTTTGCACTGTGAGTGCTACTAAAGATACCCACTTCATCATTTTTTGAACACCTAAGGATGCATTGATAGAAAAAAAATATGCATAAATACATACATATTGTATATAACAATAAATATCATCATTAAAAATTGCATTAATAATATACAAGAAACATGAAAAATGTTCATAAATAAAGACATTGAAACATATTACTGAAAATAATAAGTTATAACCATAATTAGACTGAAGAATGCCTGAATATTTTTTGAACAATTATTTAAATTTAATACAAAAACTTAATAATAATATATATATATTATATATAATAGGAAGAAATATGTAGCGAGCTTGCTAAAAAGTTACCAGGAGCTGTAGCTCCATGAAATAGTTCAACGCAGTATTACTAAATATTAACACAGAAGTAATTTTTAAAAAGATTAGTTTATTCATGCATTTACATGTTTTCCAACATTTATTTCACGTGCATGCTGTTTATTCATTTTTCCATGTTAATATTTTTGTAAAAATTACTTATGTGTTAATATTTTAGTAATACTGCGTTGAACTATTTCATGGAGCTACAGCTCCTGGTAACTTTTTAGCAAGCTCGCTACAATATTTCTTCCTATTATTTAATATTTTTGCAGCATTTTGCACAAAAAATTTTTAAGACCAAATAGGTCTTATGTCACATACTTGTTAGCTTTTCAATTTCTATTTCGATTATATATATATATATATATATATATATATATATATATGGAATATAGTTTTAAGTAATGATTTTTTAATCCCCTAACAATGAATTCAACTCAGTGGCATGAAGAAGTTTAAAAGAAACAGGTAGGCTGTTGCACTGTGAAGAAGATGTAGCCTAGCATGAGAATGAAACGGTTAACATTTGTGTAACAGTTTCCATCCAAAGCCCTAGGAAACAATTCCTAATGCAAGCAGAAAATTGAGTATTCCAAAATCAACAACTCAGGATAATTTTAAATAAGAAATTCAAGATTCATTAATATTAAATTCAAGTTATGCAAAAGATGCTTCCAAATTATCAAACTAAACAATGCGAATTCATTGTGGAGATGCCAAATCAAGTTGAAAACAAAATACTCTTTTGGTATTATTATTTTTAGTATTGAAGTCATATTTCCTGTGTAGAGTCATTAGCATTATTGATGCAGGAATGTGAAAAATATGCAGTGCCTTTGGTGGAACTCTAGACCTCCTGAATATGTAGCAATCATGCTTTCAGTGACACCATGAAGGCATGCAGAAAGGAGGGGGAATATCTTAATCCCAGTTTTAAAAGGCGACTGGGAATTAGGGGACCCCAATCCACAAATCCTAGACGTGAAAAATTATCATCCACCACCTTTTTAATTTGGACAACACTTGTAGAATCATTTAGAAATTTTTTCGAAGTCAAGAAACTGAAGAATTTGTAATGCTCTCAGCGGGATGCATATAAGCATTCTGTACCGCACCATGTTCATAGGGAAAAATGCATCCTCGGGATTGGGTATGGTTTCCGATGAGATAATTTCCTCTATGCAATCGAAAAGATTATTACTGTTAATGATGAGCACTGTATTTTTGGTTCCATGAGATTACACTTCTTACGGCATTGTAGTGTGGTGAATTAAATTAAAAAATGTAGTGTATTTCCCCCCTTGGAGAGAAAAAGTATTATTTGTTCTAGTATACTAAATCTGTAAATGTGTATTAATATTAGGTGCAGATATTTTTAATAAATGTATTCTTAATTTAAAACTGTTCATAGTAAAGGTGTGGTGATTATTAATTCATTATCTACCCATACTCTGCAGATGTAATCTCTGAAAATATGACACAAGTCAGTTTTCGCAGATAGCAAAAATGTTGCGAGTTAACATAATACACAGGAAATTCATTATACTATTTGTAGTTAGTCAGGAAGAGTATAACTTATTTTTGAAGTTAAACTACTATAGATTTGGATTAGGGAAATAAAGATACTGTAACGTCTTCAGCTATTTTATCGATCACCACGAAGTTCTGAGAAAAAGAATGACCACCTCGAAAGTTCCCACAGAGTATTTCTTAACAAATTCTCAGAAAGAGGAAGTAACCAGCAGTCACAAACCCACAGAGTATTTCTTAACGAATTCTTGGAAAGAGGAAGTAACCAGCAGTCACAAAACAATCTCAGGTTTTTGTTTCTGTCTTCATCATACCCAGTTGTTAATCAAAGTGCTCTCACCAATCAACAGGTGCTTTTAAAAATTACGGACAAATGAGGATCCTGGGATTCGTTTCAACATGCCCAGGTCAACTTGAACAAAATCATGGAATGCAGTTCCAGAGAGGAGAGCGAGTGAGAGTTAGTGACAGTAAATAGAGAGAGAAACCTTCTCTCAGTGTTTCCAGCTCGGATAAGAGCAAATTTTTGCTTCGCTCTGTGTAGAGCGATATTAATATCTCTGCCAAGAGATTTACAGCGAGGTAGCCGGGTTTGCCGCTACCTTACGAAGAACATCCTGCTCAGAGACAGCTCAGTCTAGCAACCACCGGCTTAGAGAGTCGACGAATTCTAAATAGTCTTATCTTGAACCAATCATCAGCTTGAACTATTTCCAAACACCTTGGCTGAGTTCTAAACAGGAACTTTATTCACACCGTCTGGAACTGGTTATATTTCTTTCCCCCTCACCCTACTGTGAGAACAATACTTTATAAGTTTATTTATTTTTATTTTTTTTGCATATAGCCTAGAAAGAACCCATATAAATTTATTTATGCTACCTCTTGCCTTTTGAACTCGTCACAGTTATAGAGGCTATATGTAAAAATGATGGCAGCTAAATGGATATCCTGGAGGAAGAAGTAATTGAGACTTCTCCGTTTCCCGCGTAGTGTCAGCTACAATAAATAGCTTTCGCAACACAATTAAAAAGTATTTTTTTTATGCAGTGAATAGGGGCCGCATAAAAAAAGTCTTACGTTGAAAATAACTCAAAACTTTACGAAATAACTAGGAATTGCTTTAGAAACAAAATCAAGACATGAGGCTTGGCAGCTACTTGGAATCTTATCAAACCTTTTAAAATATGAGTTAGAAAATACACATGTGAGCATTTTTAAATACTTTATTCACATATGTACTTATTTTACACATATAAAGCTTTTCAAAACGTATAAGCATTATATCCTTCATAGTCTGACAACACGCGAACTTTCTTGTGGAAAACTGGTACAAAATCACTTTTGTCACTTGAAGATACTACCTCACACTCGTTTAGAGTCGACTTTCTTTCAGTTACCATGTGACTACATGATCTCATGCTGATCAGTTTTTGTAACCACTGTTGTTTCACTAGATGCTTGTAAGACTGAAGCTCCTTTTGGAATTTTGAAGTTCTTTCAGAATTGGCATCAATAGCAGAAAATAACATTCTAATTTATGGCAAAGTTAGAGCGTGCGCATGCACGCACGCACGCACACACACACACACAAATAAAAAAAATCACACACAAAAAGGTTTGTGTGTATAATACATTTTAAAGTATAATCAATAAATAAAGTGTATTAACAAATTATTAATTCATCTTAGTGCCAAATAAAGATGAACTTTGATATAGTTATTTTGGTGATATTGCAAAATCAGCGACTGAATCTTTTAAGTTTTATTTAAAAGATGTGATCATGTAATGAATACTGTTATGTTTATAGATGGTAGAAATTTATGAAAATGTTTATTTTCAATCTCATATTCTTAATATTTTTTTTTATTTTATTGCAATCATAAGCATCATAAACAATACTCTGCATTAAGAAGGTAACAAAAAATTCAAAATAGTTGCTAATATAGTATTCAAAATAGTACTAATATAGTATATAGCGGACAGTCACGGGTGCACAAAAATAGCTTTGTGGGCATGGGGTTAAGAACCCCTGCATTAATGGATAGCCATACCAATTAGTCACTTAGCCATCTCCATTGCTGAGAACACTGCACAAGGTGCACCATTATGGGTAGTCCACTGCACAAAGCTGAAAGGATACATAACTAACCAAGCCTTGAACAGGATTTAAACCCTGCATTTGAGACAAGCAATCAACCTCCGCTAACCACTACAGTCCAAGAGGACAATAAATCAAAAGTAAATATTTTTATTAGAATTCATCACACAGAGATGACAATGCATTTTTATTTTGGTGTTTAACCTATTTAAAAACATTTTGACCAAATGAATATAGCCCCTAAAAATTCTTCTTCCCAATGGGTTCACATTTTAATATGAAGAATTCTACTTCTCAATTGCTGAAATTTTCCCATACATTTTGCTCTTCTAGGGAAATTGAGTCGTTTACTCTGTATACAGTATCAATATCACTTTTACTAATTGAGAAACAAAATGCAGCAATGATATTTTTGTTAAATTGCAAATCAGTTGCGTTTACGGAGTCTGTCTTATTTAAAGTGAACTTTGCCTATAGTTCGTTTCACACAAAAAAATGCAGGAGTACCAGAACGAGATACTGGCTAACATCAAACCTTCAGAAATCTTTCTTTATCATCATAAACTATTGACTGTGTAGTTTTCTTGCATTATGTAATTTGCATATGTCTCACACTCTTACCTTATACAGTCAAAAGTCTTTAATCCGGACTCGTCGGGACTTTGGTGATTCCGGATTATCGGTTTTTCCAGATTATAGATCATCAATTTAAATCTGGTAAGATGGCATGCAGAAATTATAAAATTAAAAATATGAAACCGTTAATTTATGAAATAAAGAGCAATATGATCTAAAGGGTATCAAAATTTACAAAAAAAAAGAAGCTTAATATTTATTTGTTTACATTATTAAACATTTCTTTCAACGTGCGCATGCGTAAAAGCATACATTATGCACGGTCAAAATTAGAAAATTGCAACCAGAAAACTATTTGATGTGCATTCGTGATATTTATAATGACGATTAATTTGATTTAAATCATATCAAAAACAGAGTACATCGAGATGAAATATTACATTTAGTAAGGTATTATACGCCAAATAAAATAGAAACATCTGCCCCTAA